CCGCCAGCAGCGGAGAGCGTGCACCTAACCGCTAAGCCACGGGGCCGGCCCTAGACTTCATCATTTTGAATTAGTCTTACTCACTAAAACGAAATTCACTTTATAAGTATTATTGCTTTTAAAAATTTTTTTTCATATATGTCATGTCATTTGATAGTTTCTATCATTCTATCATTTGACAGAAACTCAACAGAAGCATTAAAATGAATTTAAGTCAAGTCTACTAAACAATAGCTCTCCTGCCTCAAAGCATACCAAGTATGGAAGCCACATCCATTTTTCCTGTGTTATCGTCACCAGTTGAAATACAACACCCAGGGCTCTGCATGGCATAATTTTTTAAGGGATAGCAATATCAAGTTGTGACACTTCCTTTAAATGTGAATTGTTTTTTTAATTCTTAATACTCACATAATTATATCTGTAGCAAAAATTTTCTACTTCTATGTTTCATCTTATAATACACACTAAGAGTTAAAAAAATGAAACCAAAATTATCTACATAGCAAATGTTAATTTAGCTTCATTTATTAAAGCAAGACTATATGTAAACATATAGCAATATCAAAAAACAATGTGCACATCTGGAATTTTCAGTATAATCGACAACAAAGCCAGGAAAATATTAACAGTATGGCATTGACTTGACTATTATGACTATTATTTCAACAGATATTCTGGATAGTTACTAACCAATTATTATGTGTGGAATACGAAGGAAAAAATGATGTGGATAGTGCCAAACCAGTAACAAAATAAAAGGTCACAATTATTTTCCATAATTACAAACCAATAAAATATGAGAAATCAAAAGAGAGCAAAATCATGGGGGAGAGAGGCGTGTCATTCCATAATCATCAGAGCACTCACTAAACAGCTGTGAAAGCAGAAACTAACCAGTGACAGAAAGGGTGCTGGAGGCACTCGAGTACTATACTCACAAAAACAGAACCTCAACTTCACTGAGGGATGGAAAGAAATGCCACCCTCTCAGGACCCTGGACCAGTGGTCCAGTTTATAGGCAAATTAGGTTTATTATGTCAACAATATTGAAAGAATCAGAGAAATGTGATAATTAAAATTTACATACTTTTATCTATGACAGCAAGTACAAAATCTTCAACCTAGCACTCCACAATCTGCTTCTCTAGCATTGTACCTATTCCAGCATCTTAAAGCAGTCTACATTTGCAATTTATCTTCTTTAAAATTTCCACTGGTTCACCATTTCCTACAACTTTATATACAAAGCTTACATATAAAGTTCCTCTTGTTATTGTTCGTGTTGCCAGAACTAAAACTGAGTGTTGCAGGGGTTTAATTAACATTTCATGAAAAAATAAATGAATCTACCTCCAAGTTGATTTCTAGCATTGCTGGGTTTACTAGAACAAACCTCTGTGTCTTCGCACATGCAGGGTTAGAGTACACTGCAGTTTCCTTACTATGACCCAAAAAGCCTGAATATCTGTAGAGGCTCCACTACCACCACATTCTCCTACCATTCTCCCCCTCATTCATGCCAGTCCACCCTCCGCAACCTTTTCACTTTTATATGCCGAGTATCTCAGAGCCTTTGCACTTACTATTCCTTCTGCCAAGAACGTTCTTTCCCCGACAGTCACACAGCTAGCTTCCTAGCTTCTCTTAGGTCTTTACTCAAGTTACTCATCGGTGAGGCCTTCCCTGGCCACTTTACCTACAGTTTCAACACTCCAATCCTGATACTTCACCTCCTCCCTTCTCTGCTTTATTTTTTTCTCCCTAGCATGTATCTCTTACTCCACATTTTTCTTCAATGAGTACAGGGATTTTGGTTTGGTTTGTTCACTGCCAAATCCCCAGTATTTCTAGAGCAGTGCCTGGTACATAGTAGGTACACAATAAATACCTGTCAAAACTTGCTGAGATGGCTAGGACTTTTTTTCTAAAGAGAAGTGAAGTGACTTAGCATGTGATATCGTTCTTTTTCTTCTTCTGGAAATATCCTCCTATATTTAAAAGCCCAAATCCCTTCAAATAAATTTCCTTTAAATTTCCAATAATGCTCATATTATAATGATTTTTATACAGGACTCCAATTTTCTTTCTTTTATAAGGCAAGAACAGTTTCTTATATTCTTATATTCCTTATATTCCTCACAGTAACTGGTTCAATAGTCTGTGGGAAGTAAATAATAACTGCATGAATCAATGTGTGTGGCAAGGGACTGATAGATTTTCACTCGAGTCACTTGAGTCAGTATTTTTTGTCCTGTGAAAGAAAAGCTTAATTGAGGTTAGAGAATAGCATTACCCAAATGAGAAAATTTTACTAGCCATTCCTTTTTCAAAAAACGATCATAAGGTATACACATCTGCAAAGTAAAGCACATAGCAGGTGCTCATACATTTGCTGAATGCATGAAAATTTGAAGGCAATCTCAAAATTAGAGGCCAAATAAGAGCTCCTCTCAAGCTTACATGATAAAAATTTAGGTTCTAAAGTGTGGCTTTTCAAAAACAAAGGTCGTGGGTCCTCTGCCCTTTCCGATGAATTTGATTTGCTAAAAGTCAATCTGCGATGCATTCTGACCTTGCATTTGTTAGCAAGGGCCAGAAAAATTTTCTCAGAGACAATAGTACTGCTTCATCGTCTTCCCTGACATCCAGTAATACCATATAAGAATTAGGCCAATAACTAATCCTAACTTTGACTAACATAAAAGATTCAAAATAGACTTAAAGAAATTACTTTTTAAAAGTGATCTGAGTCAATATCCAATTTTCATCAACAGATATTTATCAACATAAAGCATCCCTTTTATAAAACTCTACGTTTTAAACATAATGTAAATACTAAAATAAAAACATGACAAAAATGTTACTGAGAAAATATGTTCATTCAGGCCATATTCTGTTATCAAATACATTAAATTACATTTATGTACATTAAATACAAACATTAAATACAAACAGCAAAAATATCTTCACACCCCTAGCAACGGTCTGCTTATAAATCAAATAACCCAAAAAATCAAATCAGCCACCTTCTTTAGTGGTCCTTTGTTTCTCATAGTAATATCAGAATTGGAAAGACCCTATTTGTATCAAATATAATGAGATGCTTGATTAAACACAGATCTGTCTATTTAAACTAAAAGAAGTCTCCTCCTAAGTTGCTAACTTTCCCATCCTTCGGATAAATCATACAAGCACCATCAACACACAAAAACCTAGAAACTACACGATGAAACGGTTAGCAAGTTAAGCACATTTTCATACGGCCGAAATCATTGCTCTATAGTAGACTTTAGGGGAACATTCCTATCTAGCTTAATGTCTTGTAGTAACGTGACTCTTTATCAACAAAGAGCACATTAGTCTTCCTTGGCACCCAGGCTAACACCACTTCGTGGTATGCCCACACTTTAAAGAGGCATGATGGAAAAGACTAGATTACGAAACCATAAACAATAAACAGCACATCCACCGGGCGGTGGAAGAAACCAGCGAGAGTCCCCTCAGAAGCTGCCATTTCTCCTGTTTCCACCAAGAAAGTTGTGAAATCCGCAAACACACTCCATCCCAAATCTATCAGTGGGGCGGGAGGAGGCTGAGTCATTCCTAGGAGTAACTTTACACCGATCCTCGCACTCCGGGGTCGGGACAAAGACATCTCTCCGTTCCTCACACTGCGCGCTTCCTTCAGCCTCGGCCCAATTCCACGCTCCGGTTTCTCAAGTCAAAGACACCATTAGGGTGAGCCCGGCAGCGGTGACCACGCGCGCGGAGGAGGCGTCCGGGTGGGTTTAGGTCCCTCGCCCTCCGCCACTCCCGCGACTCGGCCGGGGGCGCGGACAGGGAGGGGCCCTGGGGCCGGGCCGAGGAAGCCGCAGGTAGGCCCGCACGGGCGAGCCCACCTTACACCTCCCGCAGCTCGCTGGGGCTTCGACTCGAACCGCGTGTCTCCACCGCGGCTGTGGCGCCAGGGAGGCGGCCGCCGGCAACACCTGCCGGGCCGGATGCGCGGGCCCGCGGGCGCA